TATATTAAAAATCATAAAACACATATTTATCTAATAAATATATTATATAAAATTTTTTATAAATATTTATTATTTAATTAAAGCACTCATAATTATAAAAAAAACCCTTAAAATATTTTAAAAATCCTCTTTTAATTAATCAAAATATTATTTTAATAATTTTAAAAAACTTAGAGTGTTACAGAGGTTCATATTACTGACCAAAGTATGGATCAAAATATTGTTGTTATGGAAGATTATAACAAGTTCTAACAACATTAACATAAATGGCTAATTGGCTAATTATTGGACTAAGGTGGTCAATCTTGTCAAGACATAATTTATAAATATTTAATAATAAAAACAAGTCTAAAATTGAAATTAAAAATATAAACGAGACTACCAATGATAAACAAAACAAACTAATGAAAGTCAACAAAAAAAAATGAAAAGTCAATAACAAAGTCAATATCTAATGATGATAACCTATAACATGCAAAACACTACCAAATGAATTTTGAAAAATAAAAAAGTACCATAACAACATGTCATATCAGATTTCCTATTTTTTGTAATTTTTTTTGGTAATTTTTAAAAATATCAAAAATAGTAAAAATTTGAAAAAGTAGTCTAAATAATGGAACTTGGTCATTTTATGCCCAATTTACTCCAAAAGGAATAAGTTTGCTTAGGATGACGTTTTACCTTTTAAGAAGAAATTTTAGCCCAAAGGAAAAACTCTCAAAAGTGTTTGTGAGAAAAATTGCACAAATTCATAAAACTCAACAAAAATGGTTAGAATCTGGGTTAATATATAAAAAAGCAATTTCACAAACAGTTAATGGACATGATAAAATCAAGATAGAATGACTTGTATTCTTGATATCGACGTCATTTTGATAGTTTTGTCAAATCAATATGAAAAATTACTAGATTTTTTCCTTGGATTTATAGTATAGGAAACAACTTAGGTCATTTTTTTCAAGGACAAATCCAAATTTATTATGCAATTGTTAGGAAGGAGATTTTTGGACAGCAAACAAAAACTACAATATTAAAACATAAACAAAAAAATTCAAGAATAGTAATCGATTGATTTTGGTTATTTTATATCTATATCTAAATCTAGATCTAGATCCGAATTAATATTCGTATCTTTTTTGGATTTATTAGAACATAATTTATAATCATGAAAAACAAAAAATAGATTTAGAACGAAGAACAAGATGAAGAGAATTCATGATGTAAAAATAGATTAGAAAATCCAAAAGAGAGTTTTATAGAAACTTGTAGAAAAATTAACTCTAAAATCTGAAAAATGAGAGAAAGTATACATTGCAAGTCTTGTAACACCTATTTAAAGATCAAATTAGTGAGTTTAATCATTATATTTATGAGGCTTAACCCATTGATTACCTAAAAACAAGGCTAAGCTAACTATACAAAAATTTTTCCAAAGATAATTTAATACAAAGTGCAGAAGCGTAACATTGTGACACACTTTTGGACCTTAAAACATTCGAATTGGGTGAAACTCTCAATAGAGATGTTTTAGAGCTTTGTTTTAAATTTTTAAGGACCTTAGCAATGTACAATTCTAAGTTTGAAATCTCAAGATATAATCTATTTACACAAGACAGTATGTCAAAGTGAACAAAAATTATAAAATTAAACTAAAATTTAAAATTGAAATCAAAATAATTTATTAAAACAATTCTCAATCAATTCATCAATTTAAGGCACTTTAATGTAAAATAAGCTCAATATAATGTATTAAAATATATATTAATTATGCAATATCACACCCTTAAGAGAAGCTTAAAAAGGCAAATCCAAAACTAGTCCGACCGAATGAACACCGAATTTACCGGATTTAAACTGATTTTACTGATTTGATGATGTCATCATGGATCAGTTAATTGATCCAATTTTCAACTTGAACCGCTTAGATAACTAGGTCCTAGTCGGATTTGTCCAATCAATCTATCCGAGCTAAATTTTAGAACCATCCTTCTCTTAATCCATCATTCAAACTTTTACTAGGCACAACACAAGGAAACTTCCGTGTCCAATCTTGTTGCAAGGTCTACAAGCTTTCAACATATCAAAGAGTGTGAAAATACACATAAAGTCCTCGTTAATTCCTCCAAAAGAATATTTTTCAACATCTTTGTAAGAAGCATTCTCTTTATAATCCATGAGAAAATTAACTCCATGGTGCAAAACAACGTTGATTTTGAAAACCATCTTACAAAGAAATACCATAATCAATATCAACTCCAACAACAATGGACTATTCATCAGACAGACCGAAAATAATACAATCCAAAAATATGCACCATCAGACATGGATGAAACATTCATCCACACAAATGCATACCCATTTCAACAACATGAAAAAATCCACACATGCATTGCTTATACATTCACAAACACACAATGGATATAATATAGCTTACCTTTCACACTAACACTTGAACAAAGGCTTCCACGACCACGAAACATAGAGTGACCACTCAAACCTTGAATACAAACCACCTGCGACAAAGAAGAGAAGCACTGCATATATGGGCAATAATCATGCATGGAAAAAATACTAAATAATTGAGTAACGGGCCCACTTACACCATTTCTGTCTTTCCCCCAACTTATTTTAACATTCGTCCTCAACTTTTCAAAGAAAATATAAGCCATAAATCATTCCATTTCATCAAGTGTTCATATCTTTCCTCTAAACCTTCAATTCGATCATTGACAATTTAAAAGACATTTATAAAATTCTTCAAGTCCCTATAACATGGTACTATTTCAAATTGTTCCCATGATGTTACACACCACGTGGACAATGGTTGGTGTGCCACTTAACATGCCACATCAACTTTAGTAATGGTGTCAACTGTCGGCCATCCACCCATAGGACCAACTTGATGACAGAAGCTACTTTCAGGGACATTTTCTTAATTGTCATTTTTAAGGGACCATATTATAATCGCCACACACTTTTAGCGACTAATTTGATGATTTAACTAACAATTTTCTTAATCTTATTTAACAACAGTGAGAAATACAATCTTTCTTTTTCCTTTTCTTTTGTTTCTTCTATTTTCTAATTTGGGTCCTAACAACACCACAATCCACAACAATGGTGAATACAAGTAGAAGGGTATGGAAGAATTTGTTCCCATAAGATAACTTTTTACTTAAAGATATTAATTTTTATTTTTTGCTCCTCTAACAAAATTAGGTGTTGTTCCCCTTAAGACAATTTTTTTTTTAAATGAAGGCACAAAGTTTTAAGAAATAAAAGAGAGAATAAATTGGTACTAATTTTACTATTTATCCTTTTAAATTTTGTTGTTTTTCTCCTTTAATATTAAACTCAAATGGTGAGTCAGTGAGATAGATACACACCTTGACACAATCGCAACTCCCAAACAAATTGAAAAAGAGGAAATTGTTGTTATTGTTCATAGGACTCGTTTTGGCTTTATTTATTGAAATTTTCTTTTAAAGAGTTTATGAAACTTATAGTCAACTTGAAATTTTTGTCATAAATGTTTAATCCAGTTTTATGATCAATTTTTAATGTAAAATAAGATTATCAATCTTTCTTAAATATTGGTTTTAAAATGTATCTAGAAAGCATGTATCTAATTATATATTTACTTCAAAAGTTAGTTTTTTATTTTTCTCGTGAAAAATGCAACATTGAAATGTATTTCTCTGCAATGAATTTTATAATAGATGAATGATTATATAATAGTTTAGTTATATTGATAAAGATATATTTTTAACAGTATTTATAATAAAAAGGTCATACATTATTTTCAAAATATAAAAATACATAAAGAACAGTAGTAATTTCTAGAAACTTGGGTATTTTAGATTTTTTTATCATGAAATTATATATTTGTACCCTGAAACACATTGACCGAGCAACTACATTCAGAGAAAATAGTAAGCGGCTAAAGAACTCAATGTGATGCAATTCTTTGTGCCTCGAAAGGAAAAAATTAAAATAAAATAAAATGATTTTGACATTTTCATACAAGAACATTTTGTACCAAGGGAAATACTAGCAACACTCTCTTATTGATTAAAATTTATTAAAAAATACAATTTAGTGGGTTTCACATCCTATTTAATGACTTTTTTACCTAATTTTATGATTTTTAATAAATTTTAATCAATAAAAGTAGGTGTGTTGAGAGGAGTATATAAAAGAGAGAGTTGCTACGGTACCCTCAAAGATCGAGAAATTTTAATACATTTTTCTACGTAAATTCATAAAAAATTTTAAAAAAAATTTAATTATAAAATGAATAATTTAAATTATACTTATAAAATAAAAAATAAGATAAATTATAGAGATTAAAATTATAAGATTATAATAATATTATAAAATATTAAAAAAAATAAAATTAATAAATAGTAGAAATAAAAAAATTATTAAAATTAAAATATACTTAAAAAATTATTAAAATTAAAATATAGAAATTCAAAATTTTTAAATAAAAAGATAAAAATATACTTAAAAAATTATTAAAATTAAACTATTTAATTATAAAATAATATTATTACAAATAAACTGGAATATATAAAATAAAAATAAAATAACTAAATAATTTAAAACTTAAAAGAATAAAATATCATAAATATTATTTAAATAAATTATTAAAAATATAAAATATAAAAAACTGTACTGGTACCCTCTCAAATAAGATGAGTACCATAGAATTTCTCTATAAAAGAATAAGATGGGTACCATAGAATTTCTCTATAAAAGAATGTCTTGCTGGCATTCCTCCTTGTACTAATGGTTACATCAACAAACTAAGGGGGAAAAGTTGTGAAGCCGCCATCCGCAACTTTGTTCCCAAAAGTGGTCCCCGGTTGTCACTGCCACCTCATGTGAAAGAATGAATCATGAAAACTGCACAATGGATTATAAAGTGCGGAAAATATATAGGTCTTGGTGCATAACCAGAATGACCAACTGGCCTCATAAATCACGAGGAAAATTATTGATTTGTCCTTCTTCATGTGAATCTTTGCCATTTATCTTGTATGCTATCTTTATGCGCATGACAAGAGATTTCTGAAATAGAAAATTGCTAGCCGTCAAGTCTTCTCTTAGAAGTACTTGTGCATAAAATCGTTAAGGCAAAAATTTACGTAACAAGGAAAGTGTACCTTTCCATGTAGGGAATTAGTAACTTTCATATTTTGCGTGATGGACCCATTTCCACTAGCAGGGAGAGTATTGCCGCTAGCTGGATCTAAGTGCAACTGAAGAAACTGAAAATTAAAACACCAAAATAAGTAGATGATAAATAAGATAACCATGATTTGAAAAATGTGAATATTTAGCACCCAAAAGTCAAGACAACTAAATACATCGATATAAAGGAAATCGTTTAATTACTGACAGTCTGACACATAATTGCTAGACCTCTTCCCTTAAAAAGCCTCTAAGTTCTGCTCTCTTTATGTTGTGAAGTTCTTAGTTACATCTCAAACAAAGGAATGAGAAGATATTTTTCTATAGCAATTAGAAAGCATGGGGTCTTAAGCTAATACAATAATAATAAAGATCGTGAAACTATTTAAAGCAGTAGACAAAAGTTATATGTTAAACACCCCCAATGATGATGATCTTAGCATTACAGAAAGTTCTCACTCCACAGCATACTAACTGGCATACCTTTGGAACTGCTGCCTGAAAAACAAAATCTGTATATACGTTTGAGGTCAAATTTCTGAAGGTAGCCTGAATATTCGTTGTTTGTGGGTTTCCTGGCTGTTTTGAGAAATTGAACACCAACCTCAAGGAGCTACTCTCAAATGCAGTTATAGAAGGATAAACCAGTTTATTATTTTCTATACAAGAGAAGAGAATAGCGGGGAATTAGTACTTAGACCAAGTATAAGAGTGTCTGAAAAAAGTTTAGAAAAGTTTTTGAGAGCTCTACTGAAAATAAAAAAGTTTTTTTTCGGTAGAGAAGTTCTCAAAAGCACTTCTAACCGGTAGCCAAACAAACTCTAAATCACCTACTTGCTAAACAAAGTTTACCTTCCGTTGATGGGCTGGGGGCAAAACCATCTAATAAATCCATCGTGGTAGCAGCTCCAGCATTTGATGTTGCTTTTGAAGAAAGTGAAAGTGATGATAGATCATCTAATGGTGAAAGTGGTACCTTTTTACTAGCTTTGGGGGACAATATGTTTATTGTAGATGAGTTGCTTTGCGTAGGCGATTCAGTAGGTGCAGAAGGCGATCCAATAGATAATAGATCCAAAAGAACATCTGTGCCATTTTTTGAAGGTTGACTGGCATCTAAAAATGCAACGTAAACATCATACATGATATGAATATCTTTAATTGAACTATCACCATAACGGAATGTAAACGAGTTTGCACATTCCACAGAAAAATCCAAGATAAAAATAAATAAATAAAAAGGCAAAAATGCATGTGTCTATATACTGCTGTGTGACTGTGTCTTGATTTTTCCAATGGAAAAGCTAGATCTCTTGCATATTTCAATTTGCACTTTACAATTACTTCTAACTAATGTAACTAAACCCACGAAACAGTAAATTCTTTTGCAATATTCATAAAACTGAACAAGTGCAACGTAAATTTTGTAAAATCTACAACCATTAGTTTTTTTGGCTTTTGTAAAGCTAAGATTCTGTGGCGATACTTTGTCTTTACAGTTCCTTGATATCTTAACAGGAAAGGAATGCCAGAATTTTCAAGGGAGCTTTTTCATCTGTAGACGTCATTTGGGATATATTTTTCTTATCTTTTCTATGGTGTGCTGCTCGAGGTCTCTATAGGGATGTTTCTTTGTTAGGCATGAAACGAGATTGGCATGCCCTGTTACCTGGCTCAATTTCTTAGGTTCCAGGTGTTTTCTTTTGTAAGGATGTCTTATCATCTTTCTGCACTCTTCTGCTCATTCTTAAAAAGTTTTTTTTGATCTTAAAAAACCTTTGTCAAATATGTAATGATTTAGCCATAATAGGTCTTCAAAAATAGAGCTACTTAACTTTTTATTTGTGCAATAAACATTGATGGCAATGGTTAGATACGAACAATTCACTTATACAAGCAATATGATAATCTATATGATACACCACAAACACTAACCAGACTTTTGTGATGCCAGTGAAAGATCAACACCAAGAAGGTCCTGAAGAAGATCACCACCAGAAGAGCTTGGTACAGGGGCATCATCTGAATTTATATCAAGAAGATCTACAATAGGAGCCTCAGGTCTAGCTACTCCATTTGGAAGACCAACTGAAGGTCCTGTAGGTGTTAAAGCTGCATCTGGCAAAGATCTAGCCCTCCTTGCAATGAAAGTCACCTCATCCAAAGCCGGCATCCTCTCTACAAGTGTAGGCCTGCATGATGATGAATATTTTCTCTTTATGGGATTCCTCTTGAGAGTGTAGTAGCAATTTAAGCTTTTGATATAATATACTATATAAATTGGTTAGCCTCACCTAATATTTTGATGCTTTGCAATGATCAAATTGAATTCTATCGATCTTTGCTGCAATTCCAACACAAGGTTCCCTTTGTATTGAACGATTATTTCCCTGATTCTCCTACATAATGAATGAAAAGAGAATAAAACTTTCATGCCAAATGTACAAATACAAGAAGGATATATGAGCTTATCATAGGTACATAAGTATTTGATTTGTAAAGGGGTGATGAGACATGGACAAAAAAGATCCCATGATTTGTTAGAGATGAATACACATGCCTAAGATTTTGAACAGCTCATAAGTGTTCTAAACAGTTTTGAGCTGGATCTGCTGGGTTATACAGGATTATTGCATTCCTCAAAAGTAAAGGCCGGAAAAAAGAAATAAATCCATCTTAAG